GGGTCAGACAAATGACATGGAAATGATTGCAGGTGCAGAGACGTGGGATAGGGTCACAGAACCACAGCCTGGGTTTGTCTTGAGAATCACGGTGGGAGGACAGGTTACCCCACATGAAGTCCCAGAGGCCTGTGCGGCCAGCGCATGACACAGAAGGACAAGAGAGGCTGGGAGCCAAAGAGGGCAGACTGAGAGGGCCCAGCTGAGGACTTGGGGTTTGAGTCAGGCCTCTCTGTCCCCACCTGGGTGACTACAGGAACCCAAAGTCTCTACAGCCCTTTGAGGGCTGGCTGGGCCTGGGCTCAAGGGAAAGCCATTGATATAGGGTGACCAGAAGGCTCAGCAGTGAATGCCCTGGTCTCACAGCTCAGGGCCTGTCCATCCAGCTGGGATGGAGGCAGGAGGCTGTGACCTTCCCTTCCAATCATGGAGCCCACCCGTGACACCCCACAGCCTCCAGGCACCAGGTTCAGAGCCTTCCAAGGTGGGGGAGGTGAGTGCTCTCTGGCCACAGGGCACCAGCTATGGTCTCCAGAGTCTGACAAATGGGGGATGACCTGGGATCCGGCACCAACTAAGCCGTGGGATCTTGAACAAGTCACGTGGCCCGTCTGGGCCTTGGTGTCTCCACCTGTAACATGGGAATATTAGCGTCTACCTCTCAAAGGCCATTGTGAGGTCAGTGAGATGACGTCTGTTAAATGCTGAGCAGGGTCCCTGCCCCACAGTGAGCCCTCAACCCTATGGGTTAGGAATTGATTCTGTTTGGCAAAAAAGGCCCAGTCTTGTCTCACTTCCGAGCGTCCCTTTCAGAAGGACCCACACCTACGCCATACCTGGTTGGTGCGAAGGCAGACTCCAGGAGCCCTCAGTCCGGGGTCCCTTGCAGACTCCCCGGCATCCTTCTTCCAGACTGTTCCATTCAGATCACGCAGCCACAGAAGACGATGTTCCAGACTGGGTGGCGTCCCAGCCTCTTGGGTGGAGCACTGATGACCCGGGCTGCCTCATCCTGGCTCCTAGACAGCTACACATGCAGATGTGCTCGGAATGCGTGGGTGGCGGGCAGTGTACTGAGCTGTGTGCTCTAGCTCCTTCGCGCCCCATAACCAGCCTTTCTGTGAAGCTGTGATACCACCCCCATTTTGCAGATGAGGAAGCTGAGGCTCAGAGGCATGAAGGCCTCCAGCCAAGCAGCCCAAAAGGGTAGAGGTTCAACTCCCAAGCCAGCCCCTGGGGTGGAACAGGAGGGCGTCCAGACACGGATCCCTCAGACAGCAGGGACCTGGGCACACTCGCTCAGTCCTCCACCAGGGCACGCATCTCCCTCTCCCTGCGTGGGGCCCATGACCTGGGCTGGCCTCAGGAGGGGAAGAGGAGCCTAGCCCAGATTGGGGCTATTAATACCCCGAGGTCTGTGTCAGCATCTCGGTCTGGTCAGAGCGGCCAGCAGGTTCTGAGGGCCACAGTGGGACCCATGCTGAAGAAGTCCACGGGGTCCAGCTGCGCTCTGACCCAGGAGTGGTTAAGGGGAGGCTCTGGCGTGAGACGGCCCCAGGTTCAAACCCTGGCTTGGCCACCTCCAGCTTAGTGACCACGAGTAAGTCCTATGAGCCCTCCTGGCCCCTGTTCCCCATCCTGGGGGGGTTGCGGGGGGCTGATGGAAGGATGGTGTGAGGGGCTCACTGAGCCTGAGACCTGCTCCTTTCTCAGGTAGGGTGGCCCTGTTCACTTTCTCAGACAGCTGAGAAGCAGGCTCCACCCCTTTACGAGGCCCTACCATAGGCCACACAGTCCTACTTCTCAAAAATTCTCAGAATTCAGCAGCGCCTGGGTGGCTCAGTTAAGCATCCAACTCTGGATTTGGGCCCAGGTCATGGTCTCACGGTCACGGGATCGAGCCCCGGGTCAGGCTCTGCGCTGACAGCACAGCACAGAACCTGCTTGGGATTCTCTCTCTCCCTCTCTCTCTCTGCCCCTCCCCTGCACTCTCCCTCTCTCTCAAAATAAATAAATAAACATTTAAAAAAAAAAAAAAAAGAATTCTCAGAATGCATTCACTCATTGAATCCATGCTGTCACTGATCTTTTCCTGAAGTCTAATTAGAGAGGACAGGGGCGCCTGGGTGGCGCAGTCGGTTGAGCGTCCGACTTCAGCCAGGTCGCGATCTCGCGAGGTCTCGCGTGATCTCGCGTGAGTTTGAGCCCCGCGTCAGGCTCTGCGCTGACAGCCTGGAGCCTGTTTCCGATTCTGTGTCTCCCTCTCTCTCTGCCCCTCCCCCGTTCATGCTCTGTCTCTCTCTCTGTCCCCAAAATAAATAAACGTTAATTAGAGAGGATACACACCCATGAAATAACCAGCCAGTTTATAAAACAGTGTACTTTTACCGATACCCTTATTTTTTCCTTACTGTCAAGGTTTTACATGCCTGTTCAAATAAACTCAATAAATACAGATGATACAGGTGTAATCCCACTGCCTGGAGACCACCCCTTGTTAACACGAGGGCGGTCAGGTTATAAAGGGTCCCCTCTCCGGTTCTGGAAATAGTTTACAAAAGCAAGTATTACTTTAATAGCCAGAAAGAATCTATATTAAACAGACTGTATCTATAGATATCATCTCTGCACAGAAATGCATTTAAAAATATGGTTGGTTGGATTACATGCCCTTTAAAAAAATAACCTACCCTTTCGGGGCGCCCGGGTGGTTCATTCGGTTGAGCATCCGACTTCGGCTCGGGTCGCGATCTCACGGTTCGTGAGTTCGGGCCCCGCGTCGGGCTCTGTGTTGACAGCTCAGAGCCTGGGGTCTGCTTCTGGTTCTGTGTCTCCCTCTCTCTCTGCCCCTCCCCCACATGCGTTCTGTCTCTCTCTGCCTCTCAAAAATCAAGAAAACTAATAAAAAAAAATAAAAACCTACCCTTTTCACTTAATAGAAACCTGACCATGTTTCCATGACGACCCACCATTTTTTTCAACGATTCCTTGGCATTCGGTCATGTGGACGGGCCATACTTTATGGAAGCGACCCCTGATTATTGGACAGGTAGTTTGTCCCCATCTGATGACTCTCCAGAACTCCTCTGGCATGGCCATCCTTACTCTACACCCCTGCACACCAGAGTAGAATATGAATACGTGGTTAAAGTGGCAAGTGCCAAGTGCACCCCCAGAGATCCGATGGGTCACCCTGAGCCACCCACTGCCGTACCCAGGCCCAGAAGAGCACGGATTATAGAGACGTCTAGCCAACAGGGCAAGTCTAACCACCCTGTCCCCACGTTAGAGATGAGGAAGAGCAGCCTGGGGTGGTGACATCACCTGTGAGGCCGCACAGCGGGTCGAGGCCAGAGTTGGAACGGGGGCTGGCTGGTCCCTGCAACTCTGAGCCTGCAGGCTGTCTTTCTGGCCATATGCTTCACCGCTTCTCTATTTCCCGACTGCTTGGCCCTCACTCATTCACTCGTTCACTCCTGGAACACTGCTTGAGGCCCGCTACGCACCAGGCCTCGTGCAAGGACCCGAGGGAAGCACGAAGGTGACTCTGGGGTGGCCCCATGCCCGCAGACTACCTGGCCTCTCCTGAGCCATTGCCCTCCCTGGCCCATGGTCCACACAGCCTTCCTGTCCCAGCCCTGTTAGCTGCTGAAGGAAGGGCCGGGTGGAGGGTGCTGCGACTTGCCAGGGCCCACAGCTCGTCAGGGGAAACCGGGATTCAGACTTGGGTTTCAGCCTCAAGCCCTTGCCTCTAACCAGCTGGATACACTGCCTCTCTCTCCTTTGAGAGCAGGAGAGGTTTTCTGGCAGTTTTGTGGGGCCTAGAGCAGTTTGCACATGGCAGACACGGGTTATTTGTTGTCTCTGAAGCTTTAAGATGGAGCTCTGCTCCGATCTAGCACCAATCTGCTATTACTTACTATCGCCAAGTGCATTTATCGTTGGCTTGTACTTAACGGTTGCTCTTGCCTACTTGGAGCTAAGTG